TATCTATCTATCTATCTATCTATCTATCTATCTATCTATCTATCTATCTATCTTAAAAGGTAAATGATTACCTCATACAAGGTGCTCAATATTTACACTAAAAAGATTTGAATGGATTTAATAAGCACCATTTCAACATCAAACTAATAAATTAGATTACTAGAGTCTAGTAGGTTTGAATACATCTGTTGCACAGATGAGCATAACATACATTAATCAGCATTATATTGTTTTTGTATTTGAACAGTGATTTCAATTTGAGATTTAGATGGCAATATAAATAGGTGAATTATGTACATAAAATCATATTGGCTTTATCTCCATAGTAGATTTGTTCAGGCAGATCTTGCATAGTAGATAGCATACTAAAAACATCACCTAGACGACAAAGGTCCTTATAGTCAAAGATCCCTTTCAACTCTGTTATTTTGTTCTTTCTCGTAGGCCAGCTTGGTCTCTCCAGTACTCAGTAAGCCTTTATGGTATACTAGTTTCATTGCCCTTCTTCATTGTCCTTCAGATATTCAATGCCCTTTTTTATCTTCAAGTCTCTGGTGTACTTGCAACATTCCAGTCACCCCATTTTAGTTGGTAAGTAGAGTCTGACATGCCTCTCAATCCATCTTTTTACAATTGATTCAGTCTGATTAATGGGATGGAATCAATGGGTCAAGAAGATAAGTGTCAGACTACCTAGAAATGACAAAATGTCCACTTCTCAAGAAACTCATTTGGGATGTTACAATTCATAACAGTTACTGAATAACTACTGGTTAGTCACAATGTCTCTTTCTTATGAAAATTGTTTGAGAAAAGAATAACTATAATTTCAGATACTCATTAAAAACCATTCATTTGGCCCTATTTTAAACAGGATTCAGGACCAGTGCAATTTGATATAACTGATCATGCTAACCCTGTGAATCAGCTCACTGTATTAGAAGTGGGGGACACCTAACTTCAAGACAAAATATAAAACATTTTTAAGGGAGTAGGATCATCTTACCTTAGTCTCATCACAACAAAGCTATAAGAATAAATATTATTTATGGGGACACAAACCATTTCCATGCCAAGGGCTACATTAAGAATTGAATGGTATCATGTCAAGCTTTCAAAACATTGGATCTCAAACTAGATGAATCCGTTTCTTCTGCCTATATATTTTTTTCCGCAAACTCAAAAACTGGGTGAGTGATTCCCAAATTACTTTTGACATCAGGGAATTACCTTTGTGAAGACTACGATGGTAAGTATACTTTATTCAGCATATAAAGATAACTTTTATGAATATTTGCAAAAATAAAAGAATAATTTGATTTTGCCATTAAGCAGTCATGTATTCCTTCATACTCCATACCAAGGTATGATCAAGATAAACCAATAGGTAATCTGTAATATTTTTATGGCCAGAGTAATAAGTAGATTGAAAGGGAGGAGGAGGAAAAGGAGGAGGAGGAGGAGGAGGAGGAGGAGGAGGAGGAGGAGGATTGCTATTATAATTATTTTTAAAAATCAGCTTTTTAAGTGGCAGTATACATGGCTGTCACATCTTCAGATGGACAATGATGAAAACTAGGGCACTTTGGGGGAGGGGATGGAGAGATGATAAAATGTGTTGTTATATTTGACAAAAATCAAACAGTGTTTTTTTTTTAAAAAAATCTGCTTCTGAATTTTAGTTGTGCATTTGAGATGGTAAAAGAAAAAAATGTAATTATCTTTGATTTTATCCTTCCACTCTCTTTGCATTTAATAAAGATGAACAAAGAAAAAGGAACAAAAGACAGTTCACTTGGCTTGAATCCCAGAAGATAACCAGCTATCTGACCAAACAAGTCACTTAAGGAATAAGAAGAGAAACTCTAATTTTTATTACTTAAATATTGATAGATACTATTCAGTTTGCAAAAAAAAAATCTTAGCTACATTATTGTTCTGAAATGTAGACAATGACAACAGCTGCTAAATTGCAGGAGTACAACAAAGAAGGACAGCAAAATTGTTGTAAGCTTACCTGAAATAAGCTTACAACTATTTGGAAGATCATGTGATTTTTTTAATGAAACTTTTATTTTTCTGATGTGATATATTTCTGACTGTTTTGAACATTATGAGTGGGCTGCAACAAGAGGAGGAACAACTTATAACCTTTACCTTCCAGCTTCTCCGTTGACTGCCTGTGAGAAGTCAGCAGGGCAAGTCACAAACCACTATAAGCACAAGCTGGTTGCCATGCATGAAAATCACATGATCATGGTGTTGCAGCAATGGCCATATTTTTAGTTACATGCTTTAATTATATATTCTGCCATACAAATGTTGTAGATAAATCATATTCAACATAATCTCTCAAGTCTTTAAAATCCTATTAGAAATCAAGTGATCTGAAGAACAGCTCTCTTGTTAAGCTCAAGCATTCTGGTAAAATATCTTCCATTCTATTTTCAGAGTTGGGGTTAACATTAGGTTTTTACTACTGAAATTGCATCTATACATGTAGACATATTTCACCAAACATATTGTGATATGTTTCCCAAGTATGTTATTGCCGTGATGGTTAGAATGCAGTGTTGAAGGCTAATTCTGCTGACTGCCAGCAGTTCGATCCTCACCGGCTCAAGGTTGACTCAACCTTCCATCCTTCCAAGGTTGATAAAATGAGGGCCTAGAGTGCTGAGGGCAATATGCTAACTCTGTAAACCACTTAGAGAGGGCTGCAAAGCACTATGAAGCGGTATATAAGTCTAAGTGCTATTGCTAGTATTATACAGCTTAATCTCTTACAATAATCAATAGATATAGTAGATTCCAAAGGGGACAAATGCATACTTCTTTGTTAATGATGGAAACAGTTAAAGGTAAAATCAGAGTATAAACAACTTTGAAATATAACTTCAAAATGACATTGCATAATTATCTAGGATAACCATGATATCATCAGTTATAAAAATAATTTGTATTCAGTATTGAGTCCACCTTAACCTAAATTGTGCAAAATGCTTTAAAATTCATCACTTACTTAAGGAGGGTCCATGTAGAACTGCACAATTGGGACAGTGGTAAAGATCAATATCAACAGCATGGTGTTCTTCTACTCTGACACAACTAAAAAAGAGAGAAGAAACAAATTTCAGGAAACTTTATTTTAGTATCAGCTTTCCAGAACTTATACCAGCAATTTCTTATTTTGTTTACTCTTCAATATCTTCATTAACGACTTAGATGAGGGAATAGAAGGGGAACTTACCAAATTTGAGATGATACTAAACTAGCAGGGATAGCTAACACCCAGGAAGATAGGCTCAAGATCCCGGTGGATCTTGACAGACTAGAACACTGGGCCATATCTAACAAAATGAAATTCAATGTAGAGAAAAGTAAAGTCCTACGCTTAGGCAAGAAAAACCAAAAGTACACATATAGACTGGGTGAAACCAGGCTCAACAGCAGGAACTGTGAGAGGGATCTTGGAGTCTTAGTGGACAACCAGATAAATATGAGCCAGCAATGTGCAGCAGCAGCCAAAAAAGCTAATGCAATCCTAAGTTGCATTAACAGAGGGATACAATCGAGATCAAGGGAGGTACTAATACCACTCTATAAAGCCTTAGTAAGACCACAGTTTTGTTCACCACATTATAAAAAAGATGTTGAGACTCTATAAAAAGTACAGAGAAGAGCAACCAGGATGATTAGGGGACTGGAGACTAAACATATGAAGAACAGTTACAGGAACTGGGCATGGCTAGTCTAGTAAAGAGAAGGACCAGGGGAGACATAACAGCAGTCTTCCAATATTTGAGGGGCTGCCACAGAGAGGAAGGGATCAAGCTATTTCCTAAAGCACCCGAAGGCCAGACAAGGAATAATGGGTGGAAACTGAACAAGGAGACATTTAACCTGGAAATAAGGAGAAACTTTCTGACAGTGAGAGCAATCAACCAATGGAACAGCTTGTCCTCGGAAGTTGTGGGAGTGCCATCACTTGAGACTTTCAAGAAGAGATTGGACTGCCATTTGTCTGAAATGGTGTAGGATCTCCTACTTGGGTGGGGGGTTGGACTAGATGATCTATAAGGTCCCTTCCAACACTGATTATCTGTTATCTGTTTTACCATATCCAGGATGACGGAGACAGAAACATATTTCCTGGGCAACTAAGACCATATAAAAAATATGATTTACTCATATTCTGCTAGATAGAATGTACTGCAAAATAGCTGTGCTTTTGTACCATTGAAATTAGTTCAAATGATTTTAACTAATTTAAGCACAATTATCTTAAACTAGAGCTAATCCCTTAAATCAGGGGTGTCAAACTCGATTTCATTGAGGGCCACATCAGGGTTGTGCTTGACCTTGGGGAGCCAGGGTGGACATGGCCAGATCAATGTCACTCGTGTCGGGGGGCCCTAGCGCTCTGCAAGTGCAACTGGGCTCCTGAGCTCCATTTTCAGTTGCGACAGCCTCCTGCAACCCTTTGCCAATGAAAATGGAGCTGGCAGAGAGGCACCACAGACCAGTTCTTCGCTGTTTCCAGGGCAGCCTCACGGGCCAGATCTAAGCACCCCATGTGCTGGATCCAGCCCATGGGCCTTGATTCTGACACCTCTGCTCTAAATCAAAGCAGAATGATTTAGATTCAAATATAATTTCACTAATTAGTTCAAATGGTGATTTGAGGAAGTTCACTATCTTACAGTCTGGCCTTGTAGAGTGGGATTTTTACAATGGTTTTGATTCCAGTGGACTTTGAGAAGATTGTATTTTTTAAAAAAAATCTGATGAGTCAGGTGGCAGTAATGCAGGAACACTACCAAAACTCCTATAGTAATCCAGTCATTTATGTAACGATATATGTAGTTCAGGGTTGAACTACTGAGTCTTTGTTGCTCTCTGAGCTTGGCTGTTTGCTTGCAGACATTTCCTTACACAATTAGGTAACACTATCAGTGGTCTTCAGCGTGGGGTTTGTTCCCTGTTTATATACAATAGCTTGCCCTGTCAGTGTTAGTACAGGTGTGGTTTTTTCCTTTTGTTTCTTAACTTGAAACTTGACTTAGTTTTACTTAATTAAATATTTTAAGTAAACCAAAAGAACCAGCAGCCCTAGAATTAAAAAAAACAGGAGAATTACAGAGTCATACAGAACATACGGTGTAAGGATGTTAACAGCCACTATATTGGACAGACAGACAGAGCATTAGCAGAGCACATCCATGGATACCAACTAGCAGTCAGAAAACATGATGAAAAATATTTATCCTGCGACACATGACAGACTCATCCACTGTTTCAGTTGGGAAATTGTGAGCAACCTAGACCAAGCTAAATCCAAAAACACTAAGGAATTCCTGGAAGTTTGACATTCAGACAAATCAGCCATTAATAGACACATAGAGATAAAACATGTTTACCTACAACAAATGAACAATTAAAAAACAAAGAAGGAAACAAAAAGACCAGAGCACAGTATCTGCAGCAGCCTACACCCAGATAAGCAGGGATTAACACCAGACATCAACATCAAACAATATCCTAATCAAGGAATTACCAAGGAGAAAACCACACCTACAACAACAACTGGCAGGGCAAGCAACTATATGTAAGCAGGAAGCAAACACCACATACTTATTAGCACTGATATTACCTAATTGGGTAATGAAATGTCTGCAAACCACCAAGGTGAGAGAGCATCAAGGAGTCTGCCAGTAATCCCCCAGAGGCAGTGGTGGGATTATTATTTTTTTACTACCGGTTCTGTGGGAGTGGCTTGGTGGGCATGGCAGGGGAAGGATACTATAAAATCTCCAGTCAGAGGGGGTATTTGCCAGTTCTCAGAACTACTCAAAATTTCTGCTACTAGTTCTCCAGAACTGGTCAGAACCTGCTGAATACCTGCTGGATCAGTTATACAGTACGTGGACCTTGTGATCATTGGTAGGTATTAGAGGTTAGAGCAAGTTTGAAAAATGGATAAAATGGATAAATCCATGAATCTAAACATGTATCAAAACTATCCACCAAGCACAGTAACCTATTATTGAAATTCAATACCAGTTTGATCAATAAATAAATATTCTTTAAATTTAAACGCTAGAAGCTTAAATTTCTAGTCTTCAAATCCAGAAAATTTTTCCTTAGATATTAAGATAAATGTGAAAGATTCCTTCCCTCCTTCCTTCCCTCCCTCCCTCCTTCCCTTCCATTCTGCTTGCTTAACATAATTATGTTTAATTTCAGTGGGAAAAATGTTCCATACGGCAGTCCTTAACCACTAGGGAACACTTAAGAGAAACAGTGGATAAAATAAAAACCAGGAACAAGACCTTACATAAACTTTCTGCAAGTGTTACAGCTTGCAGGATATCAGTTCTTGCTTTGGTATATTCAGTGGTTGAATATTATCCTAACGCTGTAGGGTTAAATAGTGTTCACACAAAAGCAATGGACACCCAGCTTAATAATACTATCAGGCTCATACCAGGAACTCTTGAACTGATACCTTCCAAATGGTTACCTTACTATCTAACACATGAATCCTACACCTTAGAAGAAAATCAGCCTTAAACAGGGAGTGACAGAAACGCGAGGCAAATCAATTATTATCTAGACACAAGGACTGTCATGATCAAATACTCAAGACTCAAATCTTGGGACCTGTGGTGGAAACTTCTACAGCAATTAGTCAGAGAAGGCTTTGGATATTGAGAGTATGGCAGAAGGAATGGACAACTTCTAACCAGATCTATTTAATTTGTGTCTGATCCAGTACAATGCCCCTTCAGCTTTGATCCTCCAAGGAAAAACTGGACAACAGATCCAATCTAACCATGGCAGGTGCCAATATTGGAAATATAAATGGGAGCTGGCTTGACTAACTGTGACTGTAGGAACATCCCACAAACTTTTCATTATATTGATCCCTTCAAGAATTACATCATCTAGAGGGCACTGTTGTCCAATGACTAAATGATCTAGATATCCAGCCATAAGCTTAGACACTCTATAACTGCCCATACATAATTTAATTTTATTCATTTTTATTATGCATTTTAAAATAATTAACTTTCTTGGTTTATACACATTTTATATGTTGTTTTTGTGAATTTTATGCACTAACACTGTATTCTGTTATGCCTTATGAAATAAACAAATAAACAAAGATGGTATAGCCCTTGAACCAGCGTGCCTCGAAATCCAGAGTCATCCAGCCTTGTCAAGGTTCAGCTGAAGATTTCTATTTCTGATCCAGAATCTCAGAGCCTCTAGGTACTGGGATAAGATGAAAAAATTATCTGAGTACTGATAAAAGTAAACCTTAGTCAAGAAAGTATAATGTGATAGAACATTTAATAAATAATTTATTTCTTGCCCAACTCTTCCTTCCATGAAATCATTAGTTTTATTGAGGGAGGAGGGGTGTTTGCACATTTTTTTTTTGATATATGGTTTTTGCAAAGACCAAAACCTCCTGACTGTGCTTCCTGAAGAACATATGTAGATAAACCCAATAAATCATAATAATGTGAATTACCCTAGAAATTAAAAACTACAAATCTGCAATACTTGTACAGAATTACATTACAGGAATAGGAAACTGTTTCAAATGAAGTATATATACTAATTTGTGCTGTACAATTTAAGTAGTTTGAAGGTGATAACTGACCAATATCAGTATCACCAATTTCAGCTGAAGGAAAGCTCAAGCTACTAAGTAGAAAGAAAGACAGCCAATTCAATGCTACCACTACTAAATCTAGAAAATATATACTAATTATACCTATTATCTATATCTATTATTGGGTTGTTATGATTCCCATACTGTACTGTAAATTGCCAGAGTTTTAATATTGTGCAGTGTACACATTTCTCCAATAAATAAATTAATATAACTTCTTTCAGGACCCAATCTAGGAAAACAATTGCTATGAACACAAATTCATTGTGAGGCTTTTATGATACATCAAAAGTAATGAAACATGTGGGCAAAGGGATTTTTAAAAAATGAAATTGAATATGTGAAGCACTGTATGATTCAATGGGCAAAATCTTTGGGTATAATATAATACTTGAACAATAATAAAACATATGGATGAAGGGTT